GACAACAGCAATCTTATGTTTGGAGGGGAAGGTGCTGTCATGGTATCAGTGGAGAGACTAGAGGAAACTCATCAGGAGCTGGAGAGAATTCAAGAACTGCATAATAGAACGTTTACAAACCGACCGGGGAGGAGATTTTTATAAGTAGTTCTTTGCTCTGGTACATGAGGGATCAGTCGCAGACTATTGTGAGTGTTTTGAGCACTTGGCTTGTAGGGTGGAGCGATTATTAGAGACAGTATTGAAGGGGAATTTCATGAAGGGATTGGAGGTAGAGATCCGAGTGGCAGTAAAAGTTCTGATGCCTCGTGACTTGGGGTAGGCCATGATGTTGGCACAACTAGTTGAAAACCATAGGAATCTAGAGAGAGGAGTCAGGATTAGCAGCTCAGGACGCACTTACAGGATGATGACTACTCAGCTAGCACCTAAAGGTCCTGTAACAGGAGGAAGTCGGGAGACCACCAGAGAGAATACATGAGGAGGAAGTGGGGAAAATTTCAAGAGCCTGACAGAGAAAGAGATGTAGGAGAAGAGAGCAGATGGGTTGTGTTTCAAGTGCCATGAGAAGTATACACTAGGGCATCGATGCAAGAACCGAACTCTTCAGGTTCTCACCGTCTGTGATGATGAGGAAACTGAGGAGGAAGGTGAGGGGGAGATGGAGGAGAAGTTGCATTTGAATCTGGCCGAGGTTTCCCTGAACTCAATGGTATGATTCACTACGAATCATACCATGAAGGTGAAGGGGGAGATAGAGGACAGGAGGTGGTGGTGCTAATTGATAGTGGAGCTACTCAGAATTTTATTTCCACTCAGGTCATCGACCAATTGAGAGTGAAATTGGTGGATACCAGTCGTTATGGGGTGATGATGGGTACGGGGAAGATGGAGAAAGGCTAGGGGATCTGTAGAGGAGTGCTATTGACTATCCAGGGGATTTAGGTGAGGGAAGATTTTCTCCCACTGGAGTTGGGAAGTACAGATGCCATCTTTGGCATGAAGTGGCTACAGACCTTGGGAGACACCAAGGTTAATTAGGGAGCACTTACAATGGAGTTGATGGTGGATGGGAGGAATAGTGATCAAGGGAGATGCAGGGCTATCCAAATCCAAGGTTTCACTTAAAACTATGGTGAGGAATATACAGTTGGTGGGTGAAGGATATTTGGTGGAGCTGCACAGTTTGGAGGAAGCTAGATTGGAAGAGGGAGGGGATATACACCCCTCCATACAGCCGTTGATTCAGAAATTCCAGGAGGTGTTTCAGCCACCTTAGGGATTGCCACCACCGAGGGAGCAGGAGCATGCCATCGTCTTGAGGGAAGGGGTGTCACCCATCAGCGTCAGGCCCTATCGATTTCCTCAATCTCAGAAGGATGAGATTGAGAAGCTGATCCGGGAGATGTTGGAGTTTGGAATCATCAGGCCGAGTGTGAGTCATTTCTCTGGTTTAGTCGTTCTGGTCAAGAAGGATGAGAGATGGCAGTTTTGTGTGGACTACAAAGCTTCGAATAAGGGGACAATGTCAGATAAGTTCCCTATTCCAGTGATTGATGAGCTCTTGGATGAACTATATGGAACAATGATATTCTCAAAGCTGGATTTGAAATCTGGATACCATCAGATCAGAATGAGAGAAGCAGGCATCTCCAAGACAGCTTTCATGATACATGAGGGGCACTACGAGTTTTTGTTCATGCCGTTTGGGCTTACCAACACCCCTGCTACTTTCCAGTCAGTAATGAATAGGGTGTTCAGGTAGTACCTCCAGAAGTTTGTTTTGGTATTTTTGATGACATACTAGTATACAGTAGAACTGAGGAGGAGCTTCAGGAACACGTAAAGGTGGTCTTGGGAATTCTACAGGAACATCAGCTGAGGGCCAACCTGAAGAACTATTGTTTTGACCAGACTCGTGTGGAATATTTGGGGCATATTGTTTCTAAAAAAGATGTGGCTTCCGGCCAGTCAAAAATCGAGGCTATGTTGTGGTGGCTCTTACTTAAGAATTTGAAGGAATTGAGAGGATTCTTAGGACTGACAGGTTACTACAGGAGATTTGTAAAAGGGTACAACACTATAACCTGGCCACTGCCAAAACAATTGAAGAAAGATGAGTTCTTATGGGGAGAGGCGGCCACAACAGGATTTGAAAGACTAAAAAAGGCTATGACTACAATACCCGTCTTAACTTTACCAGACTTCACATAAACTTTCATAGTGGAGATAGATGCTTCAGGATACGGACTGGGGGCAGTACTCATGCAAAATCGTCGATCCATTGCATATTTCAGTCAAGTGTTGACAGTCAAGGCTAGGCTGAAATCATTCTATAAGCGGGAGCTAATGACTATTGTGTTAGCCATCAAAAGTGGCGGCCCTGCCTATTGGGGAGGCATTTCATTGTCAGGACATACTAGCAAAGCCTGAAATACTTGTTGGAGCAGCGGATGGTGACAAAGGAGCATCAGAGATGGTTGTCCAAACTGCTGGGATATGATTTTGAAATCTATTACATACCAGTAGTGGAAAACAAGGCGGCTGATGCCTTGTCCAGATGCATGGGGGAGTTGCAGGTGATGGCGGTGTCTATCCCATTGATGTTAAATTGGAAGGCCATCCAAGAGGAAAGCGCCAGGGATGAGGAGTTGGGCAAGATCAGGGCCGACTTACTGAGGGAAGGGAGTAGCCACCTGGGGTACTCTTTGGAGGGGGAGAGGCTACCATACCAGGGAAGGTTTGTGATGCCCCGGATATCAGTCCGCATTCCACACTTGTTGCAGGAGTTCAATGGGAGTGCAGTTGGGGGTCACTCGGGGGTACAGAAGACTTACAGGAGACTAGCCTCAGACTTGTTTTGGAAGGGAATGCGTAAGGATGTTGAGGAGTTTGTGTCCATATATGAGGCATGCCAGAGGAACAAGTATCTAGCCATGTCCCCAGGAGGACTACTACAACCATTGGTGTTACCGGGTTGAGTATGGGAGGAGGTATTTATGGACTTCATAGATGGGTTGCCCCGTTCTGAAGGCTTCACAGTGATCTTGGTATTAGTGGATAGATTGAGCAAGTATGTTCACTTCATTCCCCTACGACATCCCTACATGGCAGTGACAGTAGCATCAGTATTCATCATAGAGGTAGTTAGACTGCATGGGGTATCAGAGTCGATAGTATCCGACAGGGATAAGGTGTTCCTCAGCCATTTTTGGAGAGAGCTATTCATAATGCAGGGAACAGTTTTGAAAAGGAGTATCGCCTACCACCCACTGACGGATGACCAAACATAAGTGGTCAACAGGAGCTTGGAGACCTACCTCAGATGCTTTGTGTCAGAGACACCCAAAATATGAGCCAAATGGTCATCATGGACGGAGTATTGGTACAACACCTCCTATCATTCGGTTTCTCAGATGAGCCCATTCAAGGTGTTGTACGGAAGGGATTTGCCTCTAGCAGTACTCCGATCTCTTCAGTGGAGTACCTGCAAGAAAAGGACAAAGTATTGAAAAAATTAAAAAGGCATCTATTGAGAGCTCTGCAAATAATGAAGAAACAGGCTGAAGGGAATAGAAGAGACATTCAGTTTGAGGTAGGAGAAAGGGTGTTTTTAAAGCTCAGACCTTATAGGCAGAAATCAGTCGCCAACAGGAGGAATGAGAAGCTTTCCCCTACATACTTTGGGTCATATGAAGTCTTGGATAAGATTGGAGCGGTTGCGTATCATCTGAAGCTACAATCAACGACAACTATACACCATGTTTTTCATGTATCACAGTTGAGGAGGGCAATTGGGGATTATGCAGTTAGATCGGAGCTGCCGGGGATACTCATGGAGGAGGTAGAGGTGATTTTGGAACCCTTAGAACTGTTGGGGGTACGTCAGAAATAGGGGGGAGCTAAATAAGTGTTGATCAAGTGACAAGGCCTTCTACGTTGCCACGTGGGAGCCATACGAGAGGATGAAACATCAGTTTTCGAGCTTTCACCTTGAGGATAAGGTGGTTCTTTGGGAGCGGGGTAGTGTTACGGAGCCAACCAGACCGACCCAGGAGGGGCCGGTCCAGCTCTATAGGAGGCGGGCTAAGCCGCCTCCTTAAATGAATTATCCCAGCATGTAGGCCCCCCTTAAGACGGCAACATAAGAGAGAGAGAGAGAAAGGGGAGGCTAATGCATAAGGAGTGATTTTTGAAATTGGTTTGTGTTAGGAAGTTTTTTATTAGGAAGATTTGTATTTAAAGTTGAAGAGAGGCTAGGGTTAGGGCATGCAAAATTTGAGTTTTTCTTGGAGTCTCTTTGGTGTCTTGGGCTCTAGGCTTCTTGTCTAGAGATTGGGAGAGAACGATCCTCCTCTCGAATTGAGGATCAATTGCATCTTTGTTTCGTTCTTGCTTCACTTTGCTTTCTATAAGACTATCTATCATTTTGATTGCTTTTCCACCAAATTTTCTTCTGTTTTCTTGCTGTTTTACCGATTATTATTAGGTTTGCTTGCGAGCTCAAGTATTTCCCATTAGGGTTACTTGCGAACTCAAGTATTTTCTATCATAAGTCTACATTGAATCGGCTGCTCACCTTAGTGATGGCTGACTTCCAAAAGGAAGATTATTTTCATTGGCCCACACCAAAGAAAGGCTCTAGAGCTAATACCAGGATTGTAGCATTCCAAAAAAAAATTATGTGAGTACCACGAAGATCATGAGCATGACATTGAGGATTGCAGGTTCCTCAAATCCCTTGTCTTGAAATTTTTTGCTTTTGAGTTGCTTATTAAAATTCAGCATTGTGGAACAAGTTTCTTGGAGTGACTTTCAAACTTCTAAGACAGTACACAAGACTTTAGTTAAGCTGCCTATCTTTCAAGTAATCCTTCGCTTAAATTTTTTAGGGAAACATTCTCTTTATAATTTTTTTACTATTTTATTGTTGTCAACTGGAAAACTTGTTTGATTTTAAGTGCTTCTGATCTCTCCATTTTGTATCTTTGCATGCTTAGGTGTTGCCATGGAGCTGGAAGACTCCTTATATCCTTTGTTAAGAGAAGTAAGCATAGGTGTAAATCCTTATGATGTTTTCGAAGATGCAGAATGGGCACTTCTAATTGGTGCCAAGCCTAGAGGTCCTGGAATGGAACGTGCCGCCCTATTAGATATTAATGGACAAATATTTGCAGAACAGGTTCCATGCACCCTAAATATAATTTATTTCAGTTACCGAATCATTTTTCCTTCATCCTCATTGAGATTTGGAATTAAACGAATTATAGGGAAAAGCTCTCAATGCCGTGGCATCGCGCAGTGTCAAAGTCATAGTAGTGGGTAACCCATGCAATACAAAGTATGTGTCTCGCGCTATCTGAACTTGCATGAAAATTAAGTTAATATTATTCTTTTTTTATTTACAATCCAAGCAAATTTTACTCATTTCTCTTCATAATTATGCTGCTCTGCTTAGTAAAACAAGCTTCATGCAGTGCACTTATTTGTTTGAAAAATGCACCAAATATACCGGCAAAGAATTTCCATGCTCTGACACGGTTGGATGAAAACAGAGCAAAATGCCAGGTAAATATATGCGCCCATTATTATTTTTGGTTTGTATAGCTCTATCGTTTGGTCTCTGTGAAAAATGAAAATTGTTTAAGAATTTTGTAAATAAGGATGATAATTTACCTTATTTTGCAAATAAAGAAAAAACCAATCGCCAGGATTTCTTCAAACTCCAGGTTTTCCAATTACAAATTGTTATGAAACTTCTGTATTAGTTCTAGAGTAATACACAGTTTGTATGCTAATATTTCATAACGAACTCTAGTATTAAAACTATATCCTGATAGGGTTTTTAAATAAACCTTGGAAATGTGTGCAAAGGTTAGTTATCTTGTTTGTAAAAAAGATGAACTATTGTTCTTGTTTGCTAAGTTTTAAACTATTATCCTTTTTCACAGAAGACCATATAACCACATTGTTCTCCAATCTCCATCCTATTACGTTAGTTACAATTTTTGTAGCGAATCTAGTTCTTGTGCATTTTTTTAAACATTTCTGAGTTATGACGTTCTTAGTGTAAAATGAATTATTGCAGCTAGCCCTGAAAGCTGGTGTTTTTTATGACAAAGTCTCAAATGTCACCATTTGGGGAAACCATTCAACCACCCAGGTGTGTTTGGAGAGCCTTAGCTTTATATCATCAGATACCTAAAATTACCTTCAAGCAGAATATAGCTAATAATATATTACCACATTATGAACTAGACTAATCTTTCATTTTCTCTCACTTTATCCCTATATAACAAAAGTGCTGCTGCTCTGAATTAACTACTTCCATTGACAGGTGCCAGATTTTCTTAATGCAAAAATTAATGGTGTACCCGTGAAGAAAGTTATCAATGACACTAAGTGGTTAGAACAAGAGTTTACTGAAAGAGTTCAAAAGGTACATGTGTAATGACAGAAATGCCAAAGAGGATTAAAAAAAATGAAGCAAAACTCTCTGCTGAATTCTTGGATTAACTGATTTATTCATCTCTCTGCCTGCATGATTCCTGGTGGAAAAGTAAATGGTGATTTTAAGCTAACTTCAAGATTTGTTCGTAAAAATCTTGGCGGTTTTTTCATCTGGTGTATCATATCTGATGATGAAATGATTATTGAGAAACATAATTATTGTTTCATATTATTGGTTACGTACAATTGATTGAAATACTTTGCAGTCTTTGATCCAAATCCTATTCGTATCATGTTCTATTATCATTTGCAGCGTGGAGGTGTGCTTATCCAAAAATGGGGCAGATCTTCTGCTGCATCAACTGCTGTCTCAATTGTTGATGGCATAAGATCCCTTGTTACCCCCACTCCAGAGGGTGATTGGTTTTCATCTGGGGTATGGCTATCCAATTTTCCTTTATTAATCCCTTGAAGCGAAATTAAAACAAAAAAAGACTTGACTCCTTTATCATGATTGACTATAGAAAACATTAATGCCGCACAACTTTCAGCTAGTTGTTTCACATTTTCCCAGGATTTGATGCTGCAAAAAACGTTATTTTAAATGCAAAATTACAGGTTTACACCAATGGAAATCCTTATGGTATTGAAGAGGATATTGTCTTCAGTATGCCATGCAGATCAAAGGTCAGACATCCATTGTTTCATATTGCTAGTTTGTCCTATTTGGAGATGGATCTTAGCGGTTGACCACTTTTACTCAGGGAGATGGTGACTATGAGCTTGTTAAGGAGATAGTAATTGATGATTTCCTTCGTGAACGTATAAAGAAGGCAAGTTTTTTTCAGAAGTTGCTTGCATGTCTTTATAATGTTAGTTTAACCAATATTTATTCCATCAATTCTTCAGACAGAAGCAGAGTTGATTGCTGAGAAAAGATGCGTCGCTCATCTTACAGGGGAGGTAAAATATTCATTCCTTGTGCACCGCTTTGGTAAATCAAATTGTAGCTAGTCGTATCTTTAAATCTTATTTTATTCACCAATTCACACAGGGCAATGCATTCTGTGATCTTCCTGGGGACACCATGCTTCCTGGAGAGCAGTAAAATTTCGATGCAGCACTCTTTATTTGATCTTAGACCTGGAAAATCATTTGCCAAATAACAAGAATCGAGTTGGAGAGATGCCCTCCATCAAAATAGTAAGTGTGCTGTACTATGTTTATATAAAAGAATAAGCAGCTAAATGGCTTCGCAGTAAAGAATGTTGGCATTCATCCAAATTTTGTATCATATTATATTTGTAAGTGCAATGTCTTAAGTATAATTTATTCACAGCTTTAATGGTATATATTACGTAATTCGTGTCAGACCAATTACAATAATGTTTACATAAGGATTTGGAGAATTCATCTTAGTTGAAGCAAAAAGAGGATTAGGTACTGACCTTCATCCATATCAAAATTAAGACTTTATCTTCTCTTTGAGTCTTCTAACCCAACAACAATCTTCGGGGATGGTGAAAGGGCTGATAGGAATTACTTCAGTTGGGAACCCAAAGATGACCTTCCATCAATAGAAAATTGAGAAAATAATTAAAATAGTACAATGATTTTTCATAAAAGATCAAAATTGTCTTCAACTATATTAAAAGGTTATTTTGATCCCTCAATTTCTTGAAGAGGAATTAAAACAGTCCCACCATGGAATTATTTTGATTTTTTTAAAATATTTAAGAGACTAAAATGGTCCATTAATATAGTTGGGGATCATTTTGATCCTTTTTTTTCATAGAAAGTTCTTATTTTTTTTGAGCAATTTAAAGGCCATGCACAAATTTTATTGATGTGACAAAATATGCTTAGTTATGATCAAAGTCAACTGTAAAAGCAAAAGATACTAGTTAATTCTTCCAGTCAAGAAATTAAATTCTCCCTCAAATTTGGAGACTCTTAAAATAATGAGTGGTTATTAGAATACCTTTAAGATTATCATTTATAATAGGGTATGAATTCTCTCATTAATTGTGGAATATATAAATCAGAACCTCTTAATAGGTTGAACTTTTAAATTTTGAATTTCATGATCTAATATTCTTCTGCATGGTTTGAACTTTTATTTTCACAATGATTTCCCCTACACAGTAGTTTTATAATTTATTTAGGCTTTGTTTGAGACGGCTTTCTTTTTGCTTTTTAAAACAACTTCCTAGTGCAAAAATTTTAATTTTTACACTAAGGGCATCTCCAACCGAAAACCCAATTTTCCACTGCAACATACAACAAAACTCCAAAATGCGATAATTATGCTCCAATCAAACTCTATTTTGCGGGCTTCGTCGTCTCGTAATCGTCTTTCTCCATTTCGGGGGCAAATCCTGTTGTCACAAAAATTTAGCGGGTGAACAGTGCGACGCCAATATTGGGTCGCATTGTTCACCCACGATGAAATAGCGGCAAAATTGTTGCTCGGTTGGAGCGACGGAAGAATGGAAAACAGTAGTTTGTCGTTCCATTGGAGATGCCCTAAAAAGCTATTTTAAGAAGCAATAAGAAAACCGTCCCAAACGAAGCCTTAGTCTCATCAGTGCTATATAATCCTTGATGAACTTCTGCATGCCTTTCATCAAAGGAACTACATTTATCGACTCAGTTAGGGGTGTCAATTTCGGGTTACGGGTCGGGTTCGGGTCGAACCCGAACTGACCCGGGTGGAAAACGGGTCAACCCTAACCCGACCCGGGTAGAGAAACGGGTCGAAAATCCAAACCCGGACCCGACCCGACGGGTTGCCGGGTTGACCCGACCCGACCCGGAACCGCCACGGCGGCAGCGCGCGGCGGCAGCGCGCCTTGTTGTGTTCTCTGATACTAAGTTCATTTTTATTATTCATAGCAGAGAACCCAGCTCCTAAGTAGTCATAATACGGTCATAATGACCTAGAGATAAAATAAACAACTTGAAACCTAGAAATAACTCTTCAGCCAAGTATCCTATATTGTTACCAAAAAACAGGAAACAAATTTGGCTTGTGTGGTGAAGGTACAAAGCCTTGTTTTCTTCCGCCGCACAATTTTTTCATGAAATCAAATCGTTTGAATTTGAGTTTAAAGTCCTCTAGTATACCCTGACAATTTTTCTTCCTTCACATAATTTTTCTAAGAAAAAAACTGGCATACTTCTCAACAACAAAAAATATTTGTCTCATGAGGCATATAAAGTCAATTTTGACTTTTATAAAGTCAATTTTGACTTTTATAAAGTCAATTTTGACTTTTATATAGTCAAATTTACATCATTGCTCAACAGCCCCTACCTATCTATGTTTTTGACATTTTTTTTATAAGAAGAATCATCTATGGTTACTATAACTATATAATTAATTATGAATTTGTAGCATAAAAATATAATGTAATTTGTTTTCATAGTAAGCATGTTTTCAATTGATTTAACATTATAACTCAAAAAGAGTTATCAATATAATTTTAATATTTTATGCTAAACTGTAATTGAAATAATTTAATTTTACTTCCAAGTTTTTAATAATGATATAATAATAATATGTTAACCTGATTAAAATATATAATAATTAAACATTATAAATAAAATGTCACTGCTAACATATCCTTAAGATAAATCATATTCAAATGAGCTACATGCTTTGATATCATTTATTGGAAATAAGATTGAAGAGGAAAAATAAATTCATTGTGCATGGATCTCAAATTAAATTATTAAGAATATTTAGGCTTTGTTTGGGATGACTTTCTTACTGCTTTTTAAATCAAATTTTTAGTACAAAAATTTTAATTGTTGTATTATAAAATTTCCTTAAAAAGCAGTAAAAAAATCGTCCTAAATGAAGTCTTAGTTGGAAGCATCGTGTATCTGAATTCATTGAAATATCAATATAAGATTTTTTACCTTTCATGTCTAAAGCATTGTTTTTGAGAGAGAAATTAATTTTATTTTATTTTTTAATAAGATGTGAGCAAAATTAGAACCAGCCTTTTAGATTGGAGATCATGATCTTATTTATTCTTAAGTGCATTTCATTTTACTTTAGCTCATCTTAAAAATAAAATAAAAATTATGGACTTTACATATGATAAATTTCATACAAATTATGAGATAACTCAAAAGATAAATAATAATTAAATTTTATTAGATCATAATAAGAGAAGTTGCCATTTTTCTAGGGCTCATCCATACATATATATTGTAAAATTTCTTTGATCAATATCGATATTTGTTTTATGAGCCATTTATGAAAAATTATTATTTTTTATGAGAAACTTATTTTGACATAAGAAATGATGATACGTTATCTGTATTTACTAATAGTCTTGAATTTCATTCAGGAATATTCTCAAAATTATATCAATCAATCCAACCATCAAATTTTTAGCAAGTCAACTTTGTTAGATTCATGGTGTTTTGATATTTGAAATGATATACCTTGTTTGTGGATCAGAATATCATCGGTGGAGGCCGGCATCAAGTCGTCGCCGCTATCCCCTAGTTAGTTAACCAAGTTAGACATTATTTAGATTGGTACATTTTTTTTTTCTTAACAATATTTTATTTCAAAAAGAAAGAGGGATATACAACTAGGCCAAAGGAGGCCAAAACACGAAAATCCAAAGTTAGAAATCCTACAATAAGAGATAGATTGCAAATCAATCGGAAAAAGAAGAAAAAACCAAAAGAGAGCAAAAATAAAAAAAGGGCACATAAGGCAGCTAGACTCAGAGTGCCACCCATTTGTCACGCTTGGACCATCCATTGGAGGCAGAGAAAACAACGACAAAAAGTCCAAAAAGCCAAACAGAAGTCACCACAGACCGATCAGATGAAATAACCTCCAAGGTTGCCAAAACAGGCCAAGGCCATCCAGGAGGACGTGCATAAAACCAGTCTCATCATTGTCATACCCAAAAGGACCAACCAACCAAGAGCCACCACATCGTTGACAACAGCAAGAACATCCCAACCCAAAGGCCAGAACACCGCCAATAAGCCAATACCAAACGAAAGGTAAACAATACCAATAGAAACCCAAACACCAATCAGTCAACCAAAAATCACAAGGCCAATCATACAACCCAAAACCAACAACAACAAGAGCTGCAACAGAACACCAAAATTAACTTCTTTTAGATTTTCTTATGCCCCGTATACCACTTCCACAAGAGGAAGTGTCACCCACCAATTGACCAACCTTCAGGCTATTGAACGCAAGAAGCTCATCCAAATCTTCCCCAGTACCCCCGCAAGGCGAGGAGACCACCCTTCCAACCAATCAGAGTGGTCCAAGTAGCTATCATTTGTATTCAACAACAATTGAGCTTTTAACTCATCATTTGTAATAAGAGAAATTGGAACATCAACCAAAGGCACGCTCCCTTCCAGTTGCATAGTTGGAGACAAAACAAGTTCAGAAGAAAAAAAATGAGATTCAGCATTAGTTCCACTTGAAGATTCATCCAAAACCATTGTGTTTACATGGAAAATATCCTTATCACTACCAACAGGAGAATGAACAACATCAATTGGAATAACAATCAAGTGATTAACCTCCTCATTAATAAAACTCTCACTCTCCACATGCACTAGAGAAGCCTCCAAATAAAGAAGAGCACAATGATTAGAAGAAATAATAAGAACAAGTTCAGCTAAATCCACCCTAGCCTCAACACCAATATCACTAATAACTTTAACCGAGTCTAAAACAATAATAAGAGGGAGTAAAGAGTTGTCAAGAACCAAAGAATTGGGCAGCGCATGCCCAACAGAACCAGCATTGTTCACGTGACAATTATCCTCATCACCAACAACCACCAATTCAACCCCATCAATTATTCTATCTAATGGTAGGTATGATCATCTTATTACCTTTCCAATCTTATGAAGGCTGATCCAAGTCATTTGATACTAGCATAAATTGAAAGATTTTCATAAAAAGACTAACATGATTGTACTAAATTTTATAAATAAAGATTAATTATACTCATTTCATACATCAACATGTATATGAAACTAATATATTACTAGGTCAGATAATTTCGAACCCCTGATTATCTCCTAGGTTACCATTTATTCATTTTTATGTTCTTAAATACATATTGATCATTTGTTATTTTTCACTTGGCTTAGTTTCCTTTTCATTAATGAAAATAGTTGTCTCAACTTCTTTCAATCAACAATCAAGTCAAGATCACCTCATTCTCCCCCCTCCTAGGAGAGAGTAATAATAACTATCAATTGCATGCTGATATTAGTTCTAACTTCTAACACCCTATCTTTTTTTTTTTTTATGATGAAAAATTTTAATTGTCATGCAACTTTATCATACACATCGTAAACTTTGTTTGAGA